ATATCACTGAAAAGAGTCTGGCTCCCTCTTCATTGCATGTCCCAATTAGGCATTTATATACACTTACAAGATACTCCTAGGCTGTTTCCCAGGATAAGCAATCCCAGCTCTCAACCTCTCCTTGTATGAAAGATGTTTCAGACCCCTCCATCATCTCTGTGGACTTTTGCAGGACTTTGTGTCCATGTGTTTCTTGTTCTGAGGAGCCCAGAACTGGATACAGCACTCCAGGAGTAACCTCACCTGTGCTTTGTAGAGGAGAAGGATCACTTCCAATAAGCTCCTGGCAACATTGTTGACCTTTTTTGTCACAAGTGTGCATTGCTGACTTTGGGTCAACTTGTCCACCAAGAGACTTAGGTCTTTGCAAAGCAGCTTATCAATCAGTCAGCTCCTTGACTTTTCTAATGTTGGGTGCAGGAATTTGCATTTCCCAGGTGATCAGGTCCTGCTTGGTCTCTCGGTAACCTCATTTCTATAAAGTATCTTACTTTCCCTTCCCAAGATTCCTTTTTCACTTAAAAAATCTCAAGTTTAGGATTGTGTACTTTATGCAGACTTTGTCATGTGTGAATCAGATTCAGTGATGAGCTAACCCAATTTCTAGGGGTATTCAGATATAGATTTGACTTCTTACCTCAAATTATTTTGTTTTGGATTGCATAATTAAACAATGGTAAAATGTTTTCTGATTTTTAGTCAGTCTCAGCCAAAGATTTTGCAATCCTTGCCCATATCTGTGTTTACAAAAGACTAAAGACAGAATAGATTTGCACATGTGCCTTCCTGACAGAGCATTTTTCAGTAATTCCTCACTGTCTGGCTATTTGTGTTTTCCTCTTATACTTTCTGACTTTATATTAATTTTACACAAAATGTTGAGCACCAACTTTTCTGTACCCTTCTTTACCTTTTAACAAACTTAATTAAAAAATCCCTTGAGGTTCCCAGCACAAGACCACATGTCCTTCTGTGTTATCATATGCCACTTGATGTTTTCATGCACGGTATCCTTCAAAAATCCCATTGTCAAGGCAGAAAATTCATGCCTGTCCTTTACAGTAATGTGGTATTGCTGTGTCAGGTTTGCTCTGCAGCAGCTGGTAGCCAGGAGCATGTGGTGCCTGGAGGACATACGGTCCTTCTATGGTTGGAGAAGTGTCAGAATCACGACTTCGTCAAACTCATGCAAAAAAAGTTCCTTATGAAGTAACTTGTTTGCTTGGCCCAGTAGGGCTGGCAGTTGGCAATCAACTAATTTGGAATTAGGAAATGAACAGAAACACACAAGGTCAGGAAGGGCAACTTTTCTTGGGACAGGGAAGCATGTGACATTCCGGGAAGGCCCCAGGATTCTGACATTTAGCTTATAGGTGTCGAAGTGCCATGCTGGGATAGACTTTTATTGGATAACCATACACTTCACTGGATGATTGGAAGGCAGAAAGTTCTCTTGTTATATGCAGATAATTGAGAACTTCTAGTAAAAGTATTGTATCACCAGTTTTCCTAGGGGCACCACCCAGGAACAGTAAGACACCTCCCTTTGGTGTCAGGTAGTAAGACACTGCTGCCTGTCCTGGGTTTCATCACCCAGTTTCAGTGTGGTCTGTCCAGGCACGACAGGACCTGCTCCTCACAACCTGAGACCACTATCACTTACCAGACATCCTCTAGATCACAGCTAGATTTTCATCTGTTTTTTCTCCAGCTGCACTGGATGATGTGGGTAAAGACACAGACTTCTTGGTATTTGGTCCAAGAGCCTACTCCAGCACTTTGGGAAAGACTTAAAAATGATAGACAGTGAGAAGGAGCACAACTTGAACAGTGAGAAGCAGCAGAATGTTGCTGAGCTTTTTGTGTCTTTTCAGTTTGAGGAACTGGGAGCAAGGCTATACTAAAAGAAATATAAGGAATACAGTTTTTAGGTGTTAATTGCACAAGATAAAAATGGGGCAAAGATGCCCCATACTCTCACAAACAAGTCTTTCCCCAACTTCACGTTGTTCAAATTACCCTAGAGCCGTTGTATAAGAAATTGGATAAATTATGTATTTTAAAATATTACTCCTTGTTTACAATACCCCTGTATCTGGCAGTAAGTAATGTTTGTTTTCTTAAAAGCATTTTACAAAAAACCCAGTAGGGCTGTTTTCTGGGCATAATGACATTTTAACTTTAAATTTGTTAATTTCTTCTTTCAGCCCAAAAGATAAATGCCATCATAGTACCCACATTCTGGGTCAAGCTCTTACCTTCTGCTATGTAAAACAGCATCCTCAGATGACACTGAAAAAGTGATTGGACCAAGACTATGTTTGCAGGATACAAGAGAGGCATCTGGCATCAGCACCAGGGAGCATGTGGAGGGAGGAGAAATGCTGGAGTGTGGCTGGGTGACATCCTTCAGTGAGGCACTCAAAGTTGGCGGGTGCTGGGGGCAACTGTCTCTTGCTCCATGCTAGGTGGTGAGCACAGCAGTGGTGCCTACTCACTGCTTTCGCAGGTTCAGAGCCATACTTTTAGCATGACTACTGGAGGAAGGCCAAACAGGAACAGATGGGTAGGGGAAGATGTGTGTGAATGTAGATGGTGGAGATGGCATAAGCCTTCATGCAGAGGAGCCCAGGGTACAGTTAAATTGTAATTTATAAAACTTACTTTTTTAGTAGTTGCATGGGCTGGGAATCTGTCCATTTCCACTGTAAAATGTGTCCTAACCCTTGCAGTCAGATAGGAGAGAGTAAAGGAGAGGAGAACAGATTTAAGTGTTCAATGTTGCTTCTTATTAGTTTATGAGAAGAGAAAGTCATCAAGGGTTGGATGATCTTGTCCTGCCTTTTATAGTAAAACCTGGAAGAGTTTAAGTTTGAAGGACAGTTAGTGGAAAAAAGTGGGACATAATTGTTGGGAGAAGAGGAGGAGAGATTTAGAAGGAATGGTGAGAGACATTTTTAGCTTTTAAGTAGGTAAATTAACAATCGTAATACCAGGTGGGATGTAGAGGAATGACCTCCCTGATATACCTACAGTTTGGATTTTCATCACTTTTTTTTCTGAGACTATGTCCGTCTAAGTTGTACTAAAATTTGTCAATAAATAGGGTAGGGCCTTCCAAAGGCTTCAGTGAGGCAGAGGGTAAGTGCTCTCATGGAGTATGAATTGCACAGTAGGCCACTGTGAATTGTGTGGGTTCTGGTGTTCAGGATCTCACAGAATCAACTAGCCTGGGAAAGACCTCAGAGGCCATTGAGTCGAACCTATGATAAAACACCACCATTTCACCTAGACCATGGCATTAAGTGTCACGCCCAGTCTTTCCTTAAACACTTTTGGGGACAGTGGCTCCACCACCTCCCTGGGTAGCCCATTCCAATGTCCAATCACCCTTTCTGTGAAGAATGTCTTCCTAATGCCCAACTTGAACCTCCCCTGGAGCAGCTTGAGGCTTTGTCCTGGTGTCCTATGGCAAGTTGCCTGAGGCGAGAAGCTGGTCCCCACCTGATTAAAACCTCCTTTCAGGTAATTGCAGAGAGCAATAAGGTCTCCTTGAGCCTCCTCCTCTCCAGGCTAAAAAAACCCCAGCTGCCTCTGATGCTCCTCATAAGACTTACTCTCCAGACCCTTCACCAGCTTTGTTGCCCTTCTCTGGACCCGCTCCAGCACCTCAGTGTCCTTCCTGAATTGAGGAGTCCAGAACTGAACACAGGATTTGAGTTGCAGCCTCACCAGTGCCCAGCACAGGGGAACAATCAATACCTTGGTCCTGCTGGCCACACTATTTCTGGTTTATAATCAGTCACTGCTGGCTCGTGTTCAGCTACTGTTGACCAGCACACCCAGGTCCTTTTCCACTGGGCAGCTTTCCAGCCACTCTTCCTCAAGCCTGTAGTGCTGCATGGGATCGTTTTGATCCAAGTGCAGGACCTGGCACTTGGCCTTCTTGAACCTTATACAATTGGCCTTGGCCCATCGATCCAACCTGTCCAGATCCCTCTGCAGGACCTTACTACCCTTCAGCAGATTAACACTCCCACCCAACTGGGTGTAGTCCGTGAATTTGCTAATGATGCACTCAATCCCCATACCCAGATCATCAGTAAAGATAATAAACAGGACTGGTCCCAGCACTGATCCCTGGGGGACACCACTTGTGACTGGACACCAACTGAATGGAGCACCGTTCACCACCACTCCCTGGAACTGGCCATCCATCCATTCTTAACCCAGGGAAGAGTGCACTTATCCAAGCCGTGAGCTGCAAGCTTTTCCCAGATTATGCTGTGGGAGACTGGAACTGAGCCAGTCTTGTAGGGAGTGCTGGCAGGCCTTGTCCTGTCACCACCACCGGGTTTCAGCCATGCAGTGCATTGGCTCCGCAGTGCTCTGTGATGAATGTGCTGATGGGTTTGTCAGTCTCCAACTGCTTTGCCACAGGCCGTCTTCCAGGGGTTAAGACAACTTCAGTCTCTGCTGGGATGGGTCTAGAGGTACATAAGCCATCTCTTAATATAGCTACTAAATTTAACATAGAGCCAGGAAGTTAGTCTTTCATATTCTGGTTAGTGACTAATTTAAAGGACATTGTGAACTTTTAATGCAGACTGTGGATGACCGGTGCTGTTCAGAGACAGTGACCTAGCTTTGGTGGTGGTAGGTCTGTCCCTGCCTAGATTTTGGTGGTGCCTCTGCCTCTTCCCTTCACATCACAAATATCCAGTTGTCATACAGAAGAAGTCACAGGAAGCTGAAGAAGAGGAGCAGACAAGGCTTTTTGTGTAGGGTTCAGTTGTGATTCAGGGCTTTGATTGTGCAAAATACAAGGGGGACATGCACCAAGTGCTACAAAGGCCTTTCTAAAGGATACAAGATTGCTTAGAACATAGATACCACTGCTGATGTTGCCTTATTCCTATCCTCAGATGCCCTAAAGAAGCCTGAAATATAGACACGTGGAATATTGCTATCTGGGAAGCTGTCTTCATGCTGTTGTAGCCATGAAGGTCCCCCAGCTGAATGTGAGTCAGAAACAAGAGAAATTCTTGTAATTGGGGTATGGCAAAGTTATAAAAAAAACTTTGTACCATGAAAGAACTCTTAACTTCTGGATGTTAACTCAAACTTATAAAAAACTCTTCTACTATGAAAAAAAAAAGCTTTACTTTACACTAATACAGAAGGTGAGGTAACTATCTGGTCTGCCTCCACACGAGCATGTCCTGTTGTTTGAAGCTGAGTGAGAAGGGAACACAAAAAGTTGTAAAGCAGCAGGTGCATTCTTCCCATGTGCTGAGATGCTCAGGCATGTCTTGTACTCGATCAGTTTTGCACATCAGTTATCAGTTTGAGAAAAACACATTGCTCTTTTTATGATAAGCTTTAGAAGTTTTTACAGTGAAAGACTAATAAGTTTTCCACATTAGGACTTGAGAGTTGAGATCTCCTTTTCTGCAAAGTGCATTGATAAATGCTATAAAATATTGTAGTTAACCTGCATTTTAAAGCTGTTCTTTGATGTATTATAATGTTGAGGGATTTTGTAATAGAGAAAAAGAAGAAAATGCTCCTGACCTGAACCTGAGATTGATTATACATGGGTGTACTTTATTTCAGCATGAAAGTCCACTTACATACTTCCGTGTGATTCAAGATAAGATGGGGAGCAGTCTGTATCATTGCCCAAATTAAGATTTCTTCTTAAAATTAGCTTCTTAGTTAATATAACAATACATATGTTTGTTTCTGTAGACCGTGAGAACAAAGGAATGTGGTTTTGCAGGGACACCAAAACAATGTAGTAAGGGCAGTTATGCCTTCTGTTCTGCTGCTTAAAACCTTATGGAAGGAAACTCATACTTCCAAAGCAAATAGACAATATCAGCATCTTACTGTCACAAGGAAAGCATAACCTTAAATATATTTTCAGTACTACAGCTTGCATTAGTGGGCTGCTAAAAATAAACTACAGGTATTTTGATTCTTCTTCGCTAAATGTCCGTTAAAAACTTTTCCTAAAATAACTGTAGAATCTAGTAGCTTACTTAATTTCACGTATTTTCTTCTTTCTCAGTGCTGATCAGCAGTGAAAGTCTGTGTAATTCGGTAATTCGGTATTTATAACTGAAAGCACAGAATAGACTGTGTTTAATAAACTGGTACACAGAGTAAAACTGCACTAACTTTTGTCTTAGGGACACACTTTACATAATCTTTCAGAACTACTGACAGACATACTGGGCTATTTGTATTTTAGTTTAGTGCTCAGTTTATTATTGGCATGTTGGCAATATTTAATAACAACAGGATATATTGTGACACAGTTCACATAAATATTACAAACAGCAAAAATGCAGGGTATGGTTTTATTAGTGATAATAATAAAGGAAATGGCCTGTATGAAATGAGTACGAAGACCCCAAATAATTTATTATCCTGAACAATTATACGACCCACATCTCCCTCGGAAAACAAACAAACAAACAAACAATTAAAGCATCAGACAGAGAAGCAGAACAAGAGCATTCGAATTTAACAGTGTGATGGGCAGAGGTTTGTTCCCTGCAGAAGATGATTAGACTTTCAGAACATTCCAAATTAAGCTCTGGAGTGATTCCAGTACTGCAGAGTCCTTAAGAGAGTTCAAAGATGTAGCCAGGTAGCCTTTACCTTTGCTGTGCTGTGTCTCCTCTTTAGATCTTGCTCTGATGTCATTAACTGCTTAATTACTAAGTGAAACACTGAGATCTAACCCACAGGAATCATTTATAAAGCATATTATCTGTCTGCTATAGAATATCTGATTTTACTGAATAGAACAGTTTTATCTTCTATCCTTGATTGCTGTGGGGCAAGCATACTAGGTATAAATATCTAGTCAGAGAAAAGCAATTATGCTCACTGATTTTGTCTTTTGTTAAAGACATACTTGCAAGTTCTCTGTTCAAAAATAATTTCCAAAAGTTCTGGTGTTTAGCTTTAAAAAATTCACCACTGTTCCTGAACCTGAGAGGTGTTAGTCTGCTAAAGACAAAAGAAGTTTTCTTAAGGAAGGGAAGGTGAATAAAGTGAGAAGAATAGTAACCTGTTTTACAGTTGCTCACACTTGAATGCATGTTGTCTACACACTGTTGTTTATTTATTTATAAGAGATACTGAGCATCTGTGGCCAAATATTAGCTGGTAATGTTAGTACTCTATGCTAAAATGTCCATGAAGCACATAAATTTAGGACAAGTAGATATAACAACAGATAATTTCTTCCACTCTGATCCTCCAAGGTTGATATGAACTGGTTTTTAAATAGAAAATGGTCCTGGTTACTCCAGTACATATTGTGTACCTCACTTATGCTTGAAATACTGGTAGTTTTTTCAGTTTTTAGTCTATTAGAAACTTGTGACTTTTTGTTTAGATTTTATCTTAGAACTTAGTTTTATGGCTACTTAGGATGTTTAACATTCGAAGGATCAGGTTAGAATGGTTAATCAGGTTAGAATGATTAATCTTAATTATGCAAATCCCTGTGAAATTATGCGAGTCTTGACCTTTAATAGGGTTAGAGATGACGGGGGGTTGAGGGGATTAAGTTTCCTTGCAAGGATAGATATGCATGCAGAGCTGAATCCAGATACTCAGCAGCAAAGGTCTCATGGTCCAATGCTGGAACAGCTTGACATGTCTAAAATCCACTGAAATCAATAGGATTAATAGATGCTCAGTAAGGGCTATTGTCTTGTAATCGGTACAGGACTTGAAAAGAGAAATGTAAATCTTTGCAGATCAATTATTTTTATTGTGTTTTAAATCTTATTACTTTTATTTTTTTTTCAAGTTTTGGCAAATGTGAACATGGTTAATTTACTACCATAAGCATTTCCCTTTAGCAGTCACATTAAAGCTGATTTGTAGGTAAATGCAGATTGGAGCCTTACAGTGTCTTTCATCTGTGTAAAATACTCACAGGATTGAGTCCACCATATTGTTGTAAAAATTGTCACGATAATTGCCATTTCTGGTACGTCACAAATAATGGATTAAATTTATGGCATTTTCTTACCCTTGTCCTAGTTTTTATTACTGAAAACAGAATGTTTTATTAGAGACAAACAGCCATTAAAAAGTGAATGTAATTCCTTCTTTGTCGCAAATTTTTATAAGATGAAAACCTGGCCTATGGTTAACCCCCAATAATGGAAGAAAAATAATACATATCATATAATCTTATGATTATTAAAAATGTAATCATCCCGATTTATTTTTTTGGTAGCACAAATTCTACTATTGTTCTTTAATATGTTAAGGTAAATTCATGCATTTTAAAAATATATATTTGTAAACAATAAACATAAGCGCTATTTTGGAGTACATCTGGTCCATGTGTGAGATAAAGTTTAGAATATATGTAAATTGTGTAACATTATAGCTGGCAGGAAATTAGGCTCATTTTGAATTAAGTTTGCCTTTTAATATCAATCATATTTTTAAAAAATGCTGTCTAATGATAGTCATCTTTATTGTCACCAGGGATTGAATTAGAGACTTGAAAAAAAAAAAAAAAAGAGTGAGCATTTAGAATTTCAAATAGAAAAAAGTAAGACTGCAATCTGCTACCCATTAAACATCAGTAGAAATGTTTCTTCTGACTTTGTTGAGAACTGGTTCATGAAAAAGAACTGGCATAGGCTCCGGCAAACTCATTTTTGTGGAACAGTCACGAGAAATGAGGCAGCTTCTGTGCTGCAAAGGGGATTCCAGTAGCAATCTACTAAATCAAAATGAGTGGTTAATCAGGTAAAGGAAGGAGAAATTGGGAAACTTAGAAGAACAAAAAGTGTACTTTAAAGGAAGCAAAGATGTAATGAGAAGGAAGAAGGAAAAGGAATTAAAAGCTTTCTGGAAGAAAATGTTGAAATACATCATACAAAAGGGAAGGGATGAAAGAGTGGTAACGACGTGCAATGCAAAGGAGGATACTGGGAAGGGAGATGACTAATAGGGATTAAACAAGGGACTGTAGAAAGTGGAAAATCGGCAATGATGATGTCCTTCCCTGCCAGTAGCAGCAGCTCAGGAGCCTTGATTTCCAGAACAGATGAGTGAAATCACGAGCTTTGGCAAGGGGTGTACAAATCACCTCATGAAAGGTAGGAGAGGAAATCTGGGCCATGCTGAGCTGTGGAGGTAGGTAGGGAATTGAAAAGAGGATTTAATACTGTAAAAATTACTGTTGCTGTTATGTTTTTAAATGTGTGAAATTTTAAGTGGGTTTTTTTTCTGACAAACTAGCAAAATTAATGTGCTCATTTGAGATCTCCACTTCCTCAGCTTGTTAAAAAACTAGGCAGAACATGGACCAGAAACATTCTGTAGGCTAAATTCCTGAACTTCAACCTTATTTGTAACTCCACTAGCTTTTCCAGGCATTATACATGACATCTCTGTGCACTTATGAACCAAAATACTAACTGCTACTGACACAAATGCCAAAATTTATCCTTGGTGTGTCTACAGTGAGTGCTACCAGAGATGAATTTCCCTCTGTATTTTTAACTCAGGCATTCAGTGTGAAATTCAATTTTTCCTGACATTATAAGCTCTGCTGTTCTGCTAGAACTGCTGATACTACAGGCCCCATAGGTCGTATTCCCAATTTATTTCTATGACCATTGAAGTCTGTGTCAAGACTTGTGGATAAGGATTAAATCTAATCTTTCAAGTGCATTATTTCAAGTTTCATAACTGAAGAAATGATGAAAAAATAGGAAAGATTTGGTAGTCTAAATTAAGAGCGACTAGGAGATAGGACCACCACTACCCCCCCACACCAGTGGAAATTAATAGTGAATTAGATAGTGAGAGTTGTCCTGGGCACTGCTAACTAGAGCTTTAGCTCCGAGTGGAACCACCTTTCCATAATGCATGAGATGCACAGGAGTGATGTGAGGGGAAAGGAAAATCAGAAATTGCTGAATTTGGTTTCAACTGCTAAATGACAAAAGATGGTTAAAAAAAAAAAAAA